TGTGGCAGGGAGTTCCATAGGTGAATTATGCATTGTGTAAAAACCAGCTCTTTCACCGGGATTCACATCAGCAACCTGGTCCACAGAGTTACGCTCATCCAAACAAGGAACAGCAGTAATAGCATGTAACTTATGTGCCCAATAAAAACTAACCAACGCAGGGTTGCTTTTTGGATATCAAATACTCAGAGCGAACTGCCCATGGACAAGCCCTTCCCCAGGAAGGAACTAGTCACAGAGAGGATTCAGTGGAGAATTACAAACGGGGGAAAATGTGAAAAATCAGGAATACAAATCAAGAGCCTGGTAATCTATTTGCAGGCAAGTTGTGATCCAAAGGAGTGACTAGTCGATTATTGGCTGAAGAGCAGCCCAGCCCCAGCTCACATGCATGTGGACTTCGGGGTTCAGTGTCTCCTTTCTCGTTGCTCGAGGCAGCACTTTGAAAAGAGGGCAGCACCGAATCCGGGGGCCACAGGCGAGGAAGCAGCTAACGGAGCACACGCGCCGCCAGACCCTGAGTATATGTTGCCTGTTATTAGCCTAATTATCATTTCTATTAGGGTAGCGCTAAGAAGCCCAATCAAGCACTGGTGCCCCATTGGGATGGGTGCTAAGCAGCCAAGCCACACAGAAGCTAGTGGGGGGGGGGACTATGGAAGGGCCTTCCTCCTCCTGCTCCTTCTCTGTGCCACCTTTTCCCCCAAGCTCACTCCTCCCTCGTGAAGGATGCTGTGCTCCCCGTGGTCAGGAGGGTCGGCTGCTTCCTCCGAGGCCGGCAGGGTTGCCCCAGGACTGGTGGGAGGAAAGGGCCACCGGTCACCTCTAGCAAAGGGTTGGGGCTAAGAGCACATATTCCTAGGCCTGTGGAGCCGGACACATGAAACATTCTGGCCTTTAACACGGGGCCAGTGAGAGCCACCTCCCTCCCTTCCTCTGTGTCCGATGGGTCCGTTCCATCACCGCTGCAATATCCCCCATTCAAAGGCTTTTCCTCCAGCCAAGCTGTCCTCCTTCTCTTGGGACAGCTCACCCAGAAAAACTGCTCCTCGGGAGGAGAAACCTGGTAAGAACCTATGACCGTGTGCTGCTGTGTCACCAGGGAGTGAGGGTGTGGGGCGCCGGGGCACTCCTTAAAGCCCCCTCCTGAGGAAGACCCGTCCTCAGATGCAGGGCAGATGGGGGGGAAGGGGCTTCAGATCTGTCTGCAGAGGAGACTTACAAGGCAGCCCAGCATCAGCAAGTCCTTTCCTGGCCCATATAGACTCAGCAGGTGGCTCCATCCCTAGCCCTGAGAGCTCTGGGAACAAGACCTCAAGGGACATCATGGGCTTGAGGGAGAGCAGCAGAACCAAGGCCAGCAGGGGCCGGCATCGATTCAGGACCAGGAACAGTGCCGGGGAGCAGAAGGGAGGAGACCAGGACAGTGAAGAGCTCCCATAGGCTTGGAGCTTGTAGGCATGTGCCAGGGAAGATCCACTCTGAAACAGAAACAGCTGTTTGGGGCTCCGCTGAAGGAGCCGCCACTGCCAGAGGCTAAGCAGCAGCAGCTGCTACTCTCAAGCCCACCTCCCACTCACCTGCTGGTCTAGTCTGAGCAGCAGTCACAGGCTTGGTAGAAAAGTGCCCCCCCGTCGCTTGTCCAGGCGGCTACCTACAGGACAGCGCTTGCTGATAGATCAGCGCTGGTCTCTCATTGAAAGAAAATAGGGAATCCGAGCTGCGAAGAACAATCTGGTTCTCGACACCGCCCTTCGCTGCAGCTGAACGGTGGGGAGGGAGAGTGAATTTGCTGCCTGGAGCCCTGCTCTCGGAGCCCTAGCCCGGCCGTCGCTGTCTCTGCCAGCTCCAATAATAGAAGAATCCGATATAATAATCTTGGATTCATCACATACCATGTTGAGTGATTGGATTTTCTTTGACATGTTGCCATGAAAATTGACCCAGTGCAGTGAGTGACAGCTCTTACGGGGCAGGGAGCCAGTGAATGAAAAACACATGTTTACGCCAGGGATTTTATTTCCAGGCGAGGTCTTTGCTGGGGGAGTGGGGCAATTCTGGGGGAGTGCAGGGCGAGAAGGAAGCACACAGAAGGGTTCTGAATAAACAACAGACTATTGGAGACGGTCTGGAGTTAAAATAACCCACCCCCGCCAGTCATGACAGGCCGGTCCCTGCCTCACCCGCCTCAGGACAGGAGAGAATCAACTCTGGTTCTCGACGGTCTCCTCAGAGATCCCACAGCACTTTCCAAAGCTGCAGGTCTGGAGCCAATGACTGGGTAAGTAGCGCACACCCAGTCCATGCCCACCACTAGCGCATACGGCCTTGGGTCAGACCCTCTTTTATGGAGAAGGTGACTGGCAGCCAGGCCACTGGGGTTATATTTCCTACGCGTTATCAAATGTGCACAGCAGGGACCGGCACAGGGGACCCTGGTTTAGCATCTGGCCCCTCCATCGCTGTACCAGGCCCAGGACTGCCGTGCCAGCACTGCGTAGGAGCCCACGGCAGGACGTACGGCCAAGATCTTCTGGCCGAGGGGGAAGATTGTTGCTAAGTAAGTCAGACTAACACTGAATCCATCCCCTATTGGCTCATCGCACACCTGAGAGCGGACACTTGGAAAAGGCCTGGCACGGCTCCCCCCCCCCCCCCCCCCGGGCTGTGATCCTGGTTCACCGCACAGTGCTCCTCACAGCTTGGATCCGGCCTGCTGGCCTTATTCCCCGCACACAGGTGTATCAGACTGCGCTCCTGCAGCATGCACGCCCTGTTCTGACAGGGTGCACCAGGCCAGGAAAGCAATAACTCAGCCAGCCACAAAGAGACGGCGCAGCTTCATCCCACAACCGCCTCCTGCTCAACTCCAGCACCATTACAAAGGGGCCTTTAATACCAAGCTAACACGAACCGAGAGCACTGTGCCTTTCCACCCCACACAAGACTTGTCTCCCAGCAAAAGCCACCTAGAAATAATGAATCCCCCAGGGCCAAGGAGCTTGCAGGCTTTCTGAGAGGGGAATGAAAGATTTCCAGATTTCACCCTCTCTCCCCCCACTCCCAAGACTTCTTGAAGTTAATGTTCTTAGGCCTGGACGTGACGGGCAAAGGAAAAAGATCCATGTGATGACAGGAGGCGACTGATCTCTTTTACATAGAACGACTCTCCAGTCCCAGTTTAATCCCCTCTCTCAAGGCAAATGGGATTCTTTGTCAATAGAAACTTCAAAAGCCCAGCCCTGCCGAGAGACGGACCCTTCTTCTTTATCTGGTGTCTGTCACTGACTCGGTGTATTTACCTCCAAACAGCTAATCTCTCTCGAGCCCTCACTCTCCCTCTTGGGCTCTGCAGTGGGGACCGCCGAGTTATCAGCATTCAAACCTGACAACCAGGGAGAGGGGACCCTGCAAAGCACAGGTGCTTTTATTTCACCTGCTCCCTTTCCTGCTCCTTTGTGATGTCGAAAGACAGCCTCAAAGATTCTGGATTTTCAAACACACTTTGGAGTTTTTTCAATGCTTGTTTTTCACATCAGAAATATCAGGGCCTGACTTAGCCAAGAGACGCTGAGACAGCCATGTCTCACTCTCAGCATGCAAGCTGGGAGCTCCCGAGTTCTAGTCCTGGCTGTGTCACTGACTTACTTTTGACCTCAGGCAAGTCACTTACCCTCCCTGTCCATCAATTGCCCCAGGTGTAAAACGTGGGCCTGTGAGAGTCAGTAAGTTCTACTGGAGGAACGCGTTTTGAAGATGCGAAGTGCTATCAGAGTACGAAGTAGTATTATGATCTCTTTTCCTGGAGGTCTTGGGAAATTGTTGGAGGATCTGGAAGGTAACATCCCCGCCAGAACTGGCACTGCAGCTCTCCCAGCCCCATCTCGTGTGGGTGTGTGATGGGTAAACTGATGCGCAGAGAAGAGAAATGACTCCTTAATGTCACAGTGCTAGTCAATGACAAAGTCGGGCCCAGGAGCTCCGACACCCAGTTCCATGTGATTGTCTTACCTGATTACACGGCAACAAGTGTATTTAGATGTTGAACAGGGCAGGGCTAAAACCCAACTGAGACCTTTTCAGCTCTGGGTTCCAATCTTTCTGAATTGTCCAACTACACAACGGAGCCGCTGCTGCCTAGTGGATTGAGCTTGGCAGCCTGGCAGTCGGTTCTGCCCCTGCCTCTGCCACTTAATCTCTGTGACCTTGGGCAAGTCACTTGACTTCCCTTTGCCTCAGTTTCCTAATCAATTAAAAGGGGAATAGCGCTGCTCAGTGGCTCCTGCAGGTTTCCTGGAGATGTAGCTATCTGTTTAGGTACTTTTTGGGCCCCCTTCACTGGAGTATTAATAGTAATAGAGATGCTGCTGCTGCATTTTGTGGGTGATAGATGTGGCTCTCAGAACTCTGTGCTGGGCTGAGGGGGTGGCAGGTCACTGCCAAGGGAGGGAAGGAGGAAGGGGGCTACAGTACCTTGGTACCATTTCAACATGGAGCAGTGGCTCTTGTTTCTGGTCTGTTTCATTTCCCCAGGATGTCAGCATGCGGCTCTGACTCCACTAACTCCAGCGCACGGCTTTGTGCTTTGAGCGCCGGCAGCACAGTCAGCTGCCATGAGACAGAACCTGGGGTCCTGGTGACCTGCCCACGCTTCGGCTGCATGGTCCCTTTGGCGCAAGGAGGAGTGGCCCGGCTTGTGCTGGGAGCTAGCCACTCTGGAGTAGCAGGCAACCTCCTGGCAGCTGGCCAAGTAGGAGCAGCTTCCCTCCATCCCCTGGTTAGACTGGTGCTTGAAAATGAGCCCAGAAACTACACAGCATTTCACCTCTTGGGGAGAGTCACAACAGATGACCCCATTCAAGAGCCACCCATTATCCCGGGGCCTGGTGTGCGAACCTCACCACCTGGGACGGGGAGTGACGCGTATGTGAGGGGGGAGCAGGTGTGAATCAGGTCACTTTCAGGGAGCGTGACAACAGGTGTCGCTTTTCCTCACTTACCTTGGGGGTGCCAGGTGCCATGGAATCCTTCAGTATGGAGTTCTTACTGCCAAGAGAGAAAAGCAGAGAGTGAGCGGCCTGGCCACTGCATGACAGCAAGGCACAGGGGCGGAAGTGGGGAGAGAGCGTGCAGGGGAAATAAAGGAGGTTAAATACCAGGGGGCAGGGATCCTGGTTCTGATCAGAGACGGGGCAGTTTAACCAAACTCTCCCAAACTGGAAGGGTTTGGATCAAATGGGGCCTAGAGTGGAGCCAGTCCTGGCTTCGCAAAACCCAAATCCAGCGGATGAGATTTTGCAAAGTGAAATCCGTTCCCTCCCCCTGCTGCTGCTGCCCACCTCTCCCTGTGACCGCTGCCACAGCGCCGAGGGGCCCGATCCTGCGAGATGCTGAGTGCCTTCTGAAAGGAACGGAGGGTGCTCAGCGCTGCGTGGGAGCGGGCTCGAGGGAGAGCAGAACAAGAGGAAGCGAGTGAGATTAACCCCTAAAAAGAAGGAGATGAAGGAAACTCCCCTTCTTCCAACCAGTGCCGAGAAAGCAGCAGTTTTGCCACTGGCTGGAGTCATTTGTTAATTCCGCTTGTTTCCCATTTAGCGGCGGGGAATGAGATCGGTGTCAGGGCCCTCCTCCCCAGCTTCCCCTCCCTGGTGTGAGATGCCGCAGATTTAATAACGCCTTCCCCCCTCCAGACAGGTTAAACTTGAAACAATTACAGATCAAAGCCGACATGGCGGGGAGGCCCGCACTATAATTTTTTGGTTATTAAAGTAATCTCTCTCATGTAAATTCTCCCGCTAACACGCTGCAAACAGCATTAGGAAATAAATTATTTCCCCATGATTCGATTTGTCAATGCAAAGCACCTGCAGCAGGCAAAAGGATCTTGAAATATGATGCCAACCCGATGCCTGCACTTGTAAGTACATTGTGGCGGGGCGGCTGGCTCCCACCTCTCCATAGCCCCGGGGAGATGATGGATGGATGGATGGGTGGATGGATGGGTGGGTGGAGGGGGGAGGTTAGCGGGTGGAGGCGGAGGTTGGGGGGGGAATGGAATTGTGTTTAATAACAAAATTTGTATGCAAGCCTGCATCCCAGGCTAAGGATGAGTGATCGGCAGCCAGAAAGTATTAAAAAGCCTCGCTAAACAGCTGCTGACAATAGAACAAGACATATCAAATCAGATCTACTTCAGAAACATTAATATACACACGCATACAGACCCACACGCGGGCGCACACACAGACCCGCACACACACTCTCCTTTCTTCCCAATCACAGCAATATGGGAGACATCAATACATTTTTATGAGACTTTTAGAAGATCAACATGGTACTAGATGTGACAAAAAAGCAATGTGGCTGTCATGTTCGCTTTGTCGGGGACACGTTAGCCCCAGATGCTGCGCTGCCGTGGCAGTGGGGAGAAATTGAATTTGGCCGGCTTTAATCTGCCTTGATTTGGCAGATGGCTGGGTGTTATGAAATGAGAAGGGATGGAGGAAGGTGTTTTCTCCTCAGGCTACAAACCTCCGCAACCCCACCACACGCGCCCGTACCCCTCTGTGGGCCTCAGAAGGGCTGAGATAAGGAATTATTTGTTATGATCGGGTCACCAAAGTGCAAGAGATCAAGGCTTTGCTGCCTCTCCGTTCCCATCCCTAACGCACAGAAGTCAACGAGGCACTTTTAAAACATGATTCTTAGCCAAGCAGCTGCAGTTACTTGGACTCTTTGATGGACATGAACATGGATGAGCGTCTCAGTCATCGTCTCCCTCCCATCGATCCCTCTCTGGGATTCCTGATTGTAGCAGCATTGGTAATGGGGGCGCTTTGCCTTCCAGAACCACTTTCACAGCACAGCCCTGACTGTGCCAGCTCTGACTGCAGTGGCACCAGCCAGCGGAACAGGGGGACATGCTAGAAGCTGTTTCTCTCTGTTCTCTCATGCGGAGATTTCAGCAGCATGGGCTCTGGACCACCCAGCTCCACTGGGACATATTCTACCCACACCCTGTGCAGATCAGATGCAGTTTTGCAGCACAGGGTGAAATGCAGGGGGAGCCCACACAAGGGTTCTGCAACCCATGCCCGTCCTGGAGCACAGCTCTGTGGGTCATCAAAGGGTTGGTTTAGGGGGAAGGCTGGAGCTGACAGATTTGCAACCACAGGGTAGCTACTGCAGGCGCTGCTGTCATTCCACAATCGGGGGGGGGGGGTCCCTTCCCAATCAGACCCAGCAGATTTCCCCTTTGCACAAGCCAGATACTGGGGCTGACGCTCAGAACATTGCTTACCCAGTGTCTCCAGCAAAAACATGGTGTGTGTTTTCCCTACTGCAGGCACACTCCGTGTGTGTTGGGGGAAATAGGGAAGGGGTGTGTGGGGGGCGGGGACAGGCAGGACAGTGTGGGGTACTGTCTGTGCTGTACCCATCCTGCCCATGGGGTAGGCAGCGGACATCAGTCTCCAGGGCTGTGAATATGGCAGCTTGGAGCAACGCAGGATTCACAGAGGAGTTGTGAAGTTGATTCCACCTTTTTTTCTCTGCTCATTCATTCCAATCTGGTGCAAGCAGAATCTGGCCCTAGATATTATGCAATTGGCTTGATCCCTGCTTTTCAATGTTATCTTTTTATTTAAATCATTCTGCCAGGGGTGAAACAACTTAGGCAAAATATTATATTTAAAAAAAAAAACAAGTTTCATTCCCTCTGTTGTTAATGGTGCTTGAAATGATTCAACTTAAAAGCAACACTGAGAATCTCATTTATTTTTCACCAATGATACCCTTGTTTGGCTCTTCCAAAGCCTTCCACCTTCCACAAGGAAAGATTAGTTAGTTTCACACTTTTTCTAGTCAGTTTCATTTGCTGGTTCCCCTGCTCTAGGGCTGCAGCTTTGAGTTGCAAACACTACTGAACGGGGGTGTGGGAGGAGGAATAAATCTTTGTTTTAAAAAGTTGTTTCTGTAACCACTGGCTCAGTGTGTTGCAAGTGCCCCTCTCGTAGACAGTCCACAAAGGAGAACAGCCTATGGCCGATAGTTACTCAGCCCTCAACACAGTTGACCCAAAGGCCACTGAAGTCACTGGACAGTCTTTCGTGGACTTCACCGGGCTTTGGCTCAAACCCATGCAGCTGAAAATCCGACGTTCAAACCCTAGAGATAACTGGGGGCTTGTTACATTTTCACTGGATTTGGGTTTAAATTTTATGGCAAGGTTTCTATTATTCTTAGTTTTAGTAATTTTTCAAAGTAAAACCCTACGTTTTGGGCCAAATTTAGTCCTGTTGCATTAGTCCTTTTAATATTAAAAATGAAAAAGAAAAAATAAAGGGAGGGAGCGAGAGAGAGAGAGATTTGGAATGGACATAAACTCTCATGCCTCAGGGCATAAGCCAGTCTCCAGCTCTTGGGGTTTAGGAAAAAACTTTTTCTGGAACAGATTGTTGCAAATGTTGTGGGGTTTCTTGTACCCTCCTCTGAAGCATCCCGTGCTGGCCTCTGTTGGAGGCAGGATACCAGAGCAGATGGACCTTGGGTCTGATTTAGTCTGGCAATTCCTTTGCCCCTCTAAATAATAATCTACCATAAAGGCTTAGCAGCACTCTCCTTCACGGGAGGCTGTTCGCTTCCAGGCGGTGAACTGTTAAGAGAAGCTAGCAATGGACTGAGAATCGAAAGGCCATCAGCAAAGAGAAACCTTCCATTCCATAAACACCGCAGACGAATTAAAAATGGTAAAAGGGAAATCAAGACCTTTAAAGTTCAAACACTTTTCGGTGCCTTTTAAAGTTTTTCGCTCTAGGCTCTTGTGGAGAGCACAATCTTTGGAGACCTCGGAATTCTCTTTAATCACTAAGCAAGTCTGCAGTGGTCTGAAATGATTACACATTTACATAGTAATAACCCCGACACTCCCCACATTATTTCATGGCTAGCATATTTCCACTCGGCGAGTGATCCATGTGTTTTAAATTATTACCTGTACATAGGAAATTAGTTACTAAGTATGATATTCACAGGCTCCTCTGACACTTCTAATTAAGGTGATTTACACAGAATTATCCTTTGAAATAAAAAAATGGTGTTTTGCTAGCTAATAAAATATAATTACTACCCGTTTTTATAAGTTACAGTTAGTTTTAATCTATTTGGGGAATTGTTTATCTAGTTCATTACAACAAAACAACTTCTTTCTCTTTTACACAAAAAAATTATGAAGGAGGAGAGAAAGGGCATATGGGGGGCGGGGACACCCCACTAATGCCCAGGGATTCAGGGGAGACCTGAATTTTTCATCGTTGTGGCTTTTCGTTTTGATCAGCTACATGGACACTTCTATGTTAATCCATTTTTAGGGGCTATGCACTTGTACACGTAGCGTGGTACAGAGTGTGTGTGTGTGTGTGTTTGTGTATGTGTGTGTTGGGTTGTGATGGTCTCAGACTCCAGGATGGAAAGTCACTGACTCAGATGGCTGTTATCCCTGGAGCTACAACCCCATCAGGGTGGCTATGCCCTGAGATCACTGTGAAGGCATTCAGCTGTGTCACCTGTATTAGTGTTAATGGGAATCAGGTGGCCGGATACCCATGTGCTGCTGGGAACCCATATCAGCTCTATGGTGATTTCTACCCTCCATTGATTATTTCACACCAGCTGCTAAGAGGAGCGTTCCCTTTCAGCAAAGCTGAAAGAAACAGGCGATAAGGCATGGATGGGCAGGATCCTTTTAAAAGCAGGCTCTGACTTCCTGAGAAAAATCCCCAGTTAATATGAAACAACCCCCTGACGTCCCCAGGGCTGCTGCTCTATTACCCAGAAGCCCAAGGGGTGGTTATCCACATCCAACACCGCATTCCCTGCAGTCCCAGGGGTGTCAGTCCAAAGCCAGCGCCACATTCGCTGTCGCGTATAGTGACCTTTGCCATTTTTCCTTCCAAGTCCATACAAAAAACAGGGGATGCCATCTCAGGGAGTGGCTGTCCTCCAGCTGCCAACAGACAACGCGACACCTCCTGATTCCCCAAGATGAC